AGACTGGAATTTTTCCAAGAAGTAAGCGTTTGTTTCACACAAAGTCTACACGATTTCTTTCAAGGAAAAATTTTAGCCTTTTTTTGTGTGTGTTTTTGTTTTTAGGTGCTTGCATTTTTGAAGGGCAAATCTTTGGACTTTTCACAAGCCATAAGGATTCTGATCATGCCTTTGGTCAAGACCACTCCCTACCACAGGTGAACACGAAGCGGGCATAGGGCTCTAGGAGCAATTGGCTCAATGTTATACCATGAGTCAGCATCACAGAAACAGAACTTTCCAAACCCCCAAATTGGTAATAATAGCAGTATTAATAATAGTCTCCTTGTAGTTTTCTAAGTGTTTTCACAGCTCATATTTATTCTCCATGACAACTTTGAGGAGAGTTCGGGTAAATCAGTCTCAAAGAAGCAGATGTAAGTTCCAGACTAGCTCTGCCATCCACTTGCTGGAGGACTCTGCCTGGCTCTCTCTCCACTCTGGATCTCAGTGTCCTCAGCTACAACAGAACTGGGTTACAATATTTCCAAATCTCTGCCACCTGTGTGTGCTGCTGTGCTCCAGTCTTGGTCCCATTGACATCTGGGGCCCCACACGGGGCTTCCCTCTGCTCTGAAGAATGTTTAGTAGCATCCTGGTTTCTCTCCCACAAGATGACGCTTGTAGCACCCTTTCCTCCAACTGTGACAATACAGATTATCTCTAGATACCGCCAAAAGTGACCTCTCCAGGCACTGCTTGGGGGCTTCAGTGAGGCCAAGAATGCGAGTAGCTTGGTGGAGCAAAGGTCTTTCTACCATTTCCTCTTTTCTAACCTATTCGCACCTTTTTGTAAATGTTTCAAAGCCAATCTCACAGTCCTCTGCTACGTCTTATTTCTTAAACGCCGTAAGTGGTCCTGAGTGTGTTCCATGTGATAATAAACCAATTGATTTCATACTTTCTCCTAAGGAGAGTTCACAGGTTTATGCCCCCTAAGCAACCAGCCAGACTCTTCAGAAATCCAGAGCGGAGTCCAGGCTGGCCTGGAAGCCTATCTGCAGCCTGCAGGAGGCTCAGTGAGCATGGGTTTGTCAGCACTCTTAAATCACTGGGCTCTGAGGAAGGCTTCTCCCAGCAGAAAGATCCTTCCCCAGGAATCAATAGCTCAGGGCCTTCCATCACATTCAGAATTATCCGGGGACCTGTAAAATTTCTTTTCCCCAAGCATGGCCGAACCCCAGCTGTGGGTCAGAGAAGAAGGCAAGGGGGAATACCTGCCAGTCAGACTGTGTTCATCACTCTCCACGTCACCATGACCAGAAGCTGATGTGCAAGCTCCACACTTGGCCTTAGCGATAGGGGAAAAAGATCCCATGCGGTTCCCAGTGATCCAGCACTAATAGCCCCTTCTGAATGACTAGCTCTCTGCATCACACCTAAGGAGATGAATCCCAAAGACCATTTCCTCCACCTCTGCTCCCCTACCCTCACAGGAGGATCTGACACTCTTCCTATACTGAGCGTAATCATACTACTCCAAGCTTATCTAGAACCAGACCAAGACTGAGAACATGGAGGATGTTTCTCCACTTAAATCAAGGTGACCGACGAGGTTCTCAAGTACCAGTTCTTAGAATCCCAACTAAAGAGAGGGGCTGTGGCTCTCTGGTGGCCTACACTATCCTCCCCCCCCCCTTGTATAGATGAAGACCTATCTTGTCTGCGTGCCCGGAGAGATGAACAATTGTAAGTATTTTCCTTGACAACAAGCATCCATGGTGTGAATCTTAGGGGCAAGGAAGGGTTATGCTTTTCAGAATTCTGGATTGACAGTAGGTTTCTTCATGAAGACAGGCCACCAAGTCTGCCAATGCTCCACAAAGAACCCCATGAGGTTGATATGGTATGTCAAGAAAGTAGGTGGTAGCAGAAAACAGAGGGTCAGCTATGGGCCCCCCAGATCCACAGAAGGGCACCAGGAATGAGAGCATCGTCTTAGGTGCCCCAGGTGCCAAAAGAGGAGGGATTTATTGAGCCCTGAGCCTCGAATACTCTGACCTTGAGTTGGGAGCAGTAAGGATGGAGGGCATTGGGAGATATTCTTTGGAAATTCTCTAGTTCACCCAGGATCTGAGTTTGAGAGGTTCTCTCAACAGAGGTTTGACTGCTGGACAGAGCGACCCTGTTCCAGCATGTTTTAGAGGGCGTCTAAACCTTGATTTACGTTCTAAGACTATCTGGGGATGGCCTGAGCATTTAAAGTTCCATTACATGGAGTTGCTTAGCTTTTGCCTAAAGACTACTTAGAACAGCAGGACAAGACTGTGGGGGAAGGAGAAAGGATAACTTGGAATTTTTACAACTTGCATGTGTTTATTGTGAGAACTTTTATCTTCTCTTGCTTCCTTGCAAAGAAAATTTCCCTAAATTTACTAAAGCTATTAGTATACCCAAGCCTGGCCTGTCAGTAATTACCAGTGCCTACTGTGTAGAGAACATATGTCCATTTTCACAGCACAAGAGAAGCAGGTCACTAGAGTGGAGAAAGCTCCAAACAGGGAACTAGCAATTGTGGGGTTTGTCCCCATCTCTTCCACCAAACAGCCAGGTGACCTTGGGCAAGACACTTGTTTTACTTCAGCTGTATTATCTGTAAATACAGTGTAGTTGGGAGTGTTCAGGCTGGGCGAGGTGGACTAGATGCCCCTGCCCAGGCTCCTTTCTCCTAGTCTTGATATTCTTGGGTCCCCACAATTCAAAGAATACATGGATACTAAACAGAAAACAATAATCTCAGAGAGCAGGTGGACCTATGTACCAGTTCTGTCTCCCAGGGATATAGTACCTTACCCACCCCACTGCATCTGGGGCTACAGGACTAGCCGGAGTCCACAAAACACGTGGTAGAAGGGCCCCACTCACCACAGTCCTTAACCACAATGGGTGATTGTTGGGGGTTGTGGCCTGAGCTTGCTTAAAGCATTACTATGGCCAGTGAAGGGTAAGAAGCAAGAAAGTCACTAGTTCTGAGCGAGGTGCTTTTGGCGCCCCCTACTGGATACCAAGGAGCCTGTTGCACCTCTAAGCTTCCTGACTTGGCAGGCAGCAAGGAAGCTTGAGGACCAACTCAGGTGATCTCAAGCTGTGTAACAGAACTACTTCCTGGTTGGTGGTCCATTCTCTCTAAAAGAGTCTATGTTTCACTCCCCCGCATTACACAAGACATTGGTCTACTCATTCACACCGGCTGCACTGTGTAACCAAACAAACATCCCAGTGCCAAATAATAAACGCCAGGGTTCAGAACACCAAGTGCAGGCAGCCCAGATGGAGAAAGGAAGAAGGAGCAACAAGCAGGTATCTCACTGCTCAAATCCCTAGCAGAAAGAAGGTCTTGGGAAATGCAGCAGAGACATGTTGACTGCAGGCAAAGGAATGGTGCTAGGGAGGTGGGGTGGGCATGGAGGTAACCCTCATATAAAATCATTGGGCTAAGACAGGTATCCAAGGAGTTGAACACCCCGCTCCCCATAGATATAGGTTGGGGTATGGTGAAGGATACAACATCAACCCATCAGCCTCAATCTTCTCCAGAGTCCATCAGCACCTACTGGAAACTAAAACGTGTAATCTTGACCCTCTAGGTCAGCCAGCACCAAAAACTAACCTCCCTTCATTGCCTACTAAATTGCTTAGAACCTGCCCCCAGAAGGGGTTTTTTAACCAAGACAGAAAGAGAGAGAAAACGGCTTCCTTGAAGACTGTATTGGGACAACTGCCATATTTCCACTTTCCACCCTCCACTTCTCTTCTCTGCGCCCAAGAATGAGGGGAACTATTCAAGCCTCTGGATTACTCAGTGGGAGTATTTCCTGTCCCAAGTTATCGTGGTTTCAAAACTGGCCTGATGGCTTTTCCCCAGGAGTTCTTGCCGGGCTCAAGACAGCACCAAAGAGCTGTCCCCTACTCTGGGAATCTTTGCTTTCTTTTCCACCTGGCTTCATCTGCAAAGTCCTGTGCACCTATCCCAGAAGATATCTCAAGTGCCACTCGTGAATGCTGCCAGGAGGGCTGAAGCTTCCTTCTGGGAGGCACAGAAGCCACGGTAGGTTAACCCACCCAATAGCAGCAGTATACATTAGTCATTCGAAGAGAAAACCCCCACCTACACCCCTAGGGAAGCTCCCGTCCCGATTGGGATGACTTTGGATTCTTTAGTTGGTTTCTGCAGAAGCGGGACTAACCCGGGCTCTCAACTACTGTACTGCAAAAGAAGCACGCTGCATTGCTGGACTTGCCCCCAAGCCTGCCTGTCGCCCCACCAAAGCCCCTATGTGCTTCCATGAGATCAAAGGGGACCCTATGGTTCCCCTAGAATACCGTAAAGAGCTTGCCAGAAACAGCCCTAACCAGAAAGCTAGACCACACCTCGGTCCAGCAAAGGAGGCTGGTAGCTACACCGTGCACCGGGCTGGCTCCGGGAGCACTCTGCCACTCAGCGCTGTGCAGGGGAGACAGCTCGGCTTCCCCGGAGAAGAGCTATGCCCCCCGGGGATCTTCCCCCAACCTGGAAACATTGGCAGGCAGCCGAGGCCAGTAGCTTCGTCGGCCCCAAGCTGAGCTTGCCTGGCTGGGTGACTGCCCCCTGTACCCCCTAAACAGCCTTCACCTGCTCTACCCCCTCCTAGCCCCCTTCTCAAACCGCTGACCTCCATCCACTGTGCCCCTAACACGTTCTCTGCCAACTGCGGGATGTCACCCCCACACCTCTGCTCCCATCTCTTCCACCACCTCCAGCCCAGCTCCCACCTCGCCCCCAGCCCGCGGGGAGGATCTGCGCGCCAATCGAGTCCCGCGCCTCTTGGCAAGTTGGGAGCAGTGCCGCCGCCTCCGCGGTCCTGGTCTTCCCAGGTCCCCAGCTGCACCCCTGCCACCCCTCGGGGCGTACAGGGAGGGGCGTTGGACTGGAGAAACTTTCTCGGCCGGAAGGGGTGGGGGCTCCGGGAGCCGATACTCACGCCCGGGTCTGCGCTCGGAGTCATCCTCTGGCTCTCTCAGCCCCACCGCCTGGGGGCGTCGGAGAGCTGGGGCTCGATGCCGCCTCTGCCGCCGGCGCCGCCGCCTTGCAGCGCCCAGCCCTGGTCCCGGGCTGGCCTCGAGCCTCCCGCCCCGACGCCGCGCGCTCGCTTTATACAACTCCACTCGAGCGCGCCCGGGCTTATGTAAAGGCTGGCGGAGGCCCGCAGCCAATGGCGCGGCAGCTGGAGCCGGGGCCCAAGCTTGGGGGGCGCACGCGCGGCCAATCGCGGCCCGGGGAGCCCGGGGAGCCGGGTGGGGGAAGGGGCGCCTCCCCGCGCTGATTTAGGAGCCGGGATTGCGGTGGCAGCAGCCGGCAGCCAGGCTGGCCCGGCGCGGCGGGCACTGGGGTGGGCGGCGGCGCGGGCGGCGGCGAGGGCGGGTGCCCCCCGTGCTCTGCCGCGCCCCGTCGCCGCGCCGCGTAACCTTCAGAAGGCAGCGGGGCCTGGCGAGTGGGGAGAGGGCGCCTTGGAGGGACACTGGGGATCGGGAGGGCGGGAAGCAGATGCCCCTAGGGAGGTAGCGCGGATAAGGTAGTCCAAATGGGGGGAGGGGAGGCCGGCGAGCCCCAGGACCCCGCAGCCACCCTGCGCGCAGGGCGGGAGTGGCGGCAGCGCTGCCTTCTCTCTGCCTCCCAGATAGCGATCTGTCGTCTTCGGGGCCCGGCCGAAGCGGCCACGCGAGCCACGCCGATGGCGAGATTTCTCGCTGCGGAGCGAGCTCCGAGTCGATCTTTATCCAGCCTGGGGACGTGTCCGAGCGCCTCTCCGGGACTGCTCAGTATGGGGAACAGAGCTTCACCACGGTCCCAGCGGGCGGGGAGCAGGCGAGCACGGCTCGGTGGTCAGCCGCAGCGGCCCAGGCGACTGCGGGCAGCGTCTGCTCCCCAACATCCGCCCCCCCCCCACGGGCAGAATCCCCACCCCACCTAGCTCGCGCTCCAGCAGCACCCATGAGCTTTGCTCACAGGAACTGTTTGTTCTCTCTCCATTGCCACTAGCTGGCTCAGCTGGGTGCGATGGCTTTGGTCTTTCTGACCCAAGGGTAGTAGTGGGAGGGCGACTGAGACGGAGAAGAGTGACTTGGTCAACAGCACCCCAAATACTGGTGTCTGGGGCAAGAAGCTGGCTTAGCTCAACAATGACAGGTTCCTTCTTTTACTCCCACAATAGAACCAAGCACATAGTAGGTACTCCGCAAGTACTTAGTGAATTTTGACCTATGAATAAGCCTGTGGGTTTCTGAGAGTCAGACACAGGTCTTCGGAGGAGGAGGATCTGGGTATCTACTGGCCGAGGGAGAAGGAGCTGAGACTGTTTACTCAGCTCCAGGGGCTTTTGAGACCACTATGGACTAACTAGCCTGCTTTCTGTGTTTGACTCTTAAAATGACTCCGATGAGGATTCTGCTATAGAGGGCCTTGCCAACCAGATCCTGTCTGGACTCGGTTACCCCCCCCCCCCCAATACTGAGCAGAGCTGTCAGCCCTGTTTGAAGGTATTTGTGCTCTCCTCTTAAAAGCTGTAGCTAAGCATAGACAAAGCTGGTCTCTCTGGGCTGCTGAGGAGCTCAGGTTCTTAACCCTGAGCGGCGGGGAACCTTTGAGAACCTGGCAAAAGTTACTAAAGTCTTTTTCTGGAAAAGTTGGCAGACATTTACATGTGAGTGGCTTTTGAATACAATTTCAGGATCTTTAGGAATTCTGAGCCTTTGGGTGCTCTGTCCATTATCCACCTGTTTCTCCGGGGTTTATAATTATCCTCTAGAGATCAGAGAGCGTTCTGAACCCTGGGAGAAGCCGATGAATGTGTGGATGTGCTTCTCAGGAAGATGCTCTCACATACACAAGGGGGTGTGAGAATTGTTAGAACTTAATCCAAGGCTCCACATTCACATTCTTCATCCAGCAGCAAGTAGACTCCCTCCCAAGGGCACTTCTGGTCCTGGGCTCTCTCCAAAAGGACAGCAGAAGGCTCTGCACTCTGATGGATGACACCATCAGAGGACATCTGTATCATGTGGCTGTGGTCCTGGCACTTGAGAGACTGTCTCCACACTTGTTCTCTGCGCCTTAGTCCCTATCACCCTCTTTACGTGGAAACAAGTAGCAGGTTGTCAGATCCTGTCTAATCGGCGAGGGTTCCTTAGCCAGAAACTCCAACTCAGGGAGACAGCAAGCGACTGGTAATTAACCAGTCTCACTCAATCCCAAGCATCTGAGCACACCTTTCTTGATTTCGTTCTCACCTCTCTTTCCCTCTCTGCCTGGGAAGCTGTGAGCCACAGCCACAGCTGTGGAGCCTCACCTTACCTAAACCTGACAGATTTAGTAACCAGTGAGGTAATTATGAGCATTAGCCATCCAGATGTGAATAGGTTGTCGGTGCAAAACAACTTCATAATGATCTCGCATTTCCCACAGCTAGGCAGGTAAGGAGATAGCTGGGCAGAGGTGCGGGGAAGGACAGAGAAATGGAAGTGACAGGTGTCCTACTCAGGGAGTCCTTCAAGAAATGAGCTGGGCAGCTCTGGTTCTAGAATTTCTCATTCTTTTAATGCTGTCCATGTTTGGAAGCCAGGGTGTTTTAGAATTCAGAGAGGTGTCAAGCTTGTTGCGCCATCATGTGAGGTCTGGAGTCACATCTGAAAGTCAGACACATTCATATTTCCACAGTGAGATGCCGGGGCTTCTAGAGTGAGCATGAGGGTAAAGTGGTTTTGTGTTCGTTTAGGGCAGCATTTGTCTCCAGATGAGCTGAAGCACCAAACTAGCAAAGCCCCAAAGAAATCCCAAATATTTTTGACACTTGGGGATTTTGGACACTTGAAACTGCAGACAGGGACTGTGTTTAAGATTGCTGGTTCCCAAAGAAATGAATTCTTTGTGGGAATTGCGGGAGCAGCAACAGTGAATGGGAAACCGCACACTGTGACAGGCATTTCAGAGATGTGAGGAAGAAACCCCCTTCTCAAAGCCAGGCACTTCTCTGTGTGGCCCTCTTTTCTCAGGGAGTGGAGACATGTACCACAGTCAACAGCATGCTGTGAGTGACGGGAGGGCAGAATGGGCTTTTGTCTGGAGTGGAAATACACAGGGATTCTTTCTTGTAGAGATGCTTGAGCCCCTGGTGGACAGTTTGTTTTAGGGGTGTAACTGTGGCAGACACAGAGAGGAGTCTTCCCAGCGGCCAGTGTTAGCTCAGAACACCTGGAGGACAGCTACAGGCAAACTCTTCCAGGCAGGGTGTCGGCCAGAAAGATGGGCAAAAAACAGGGAGATGCTATTGAGTCCTGGGGACAGCTAGGTGTCAAGAGCAGAGCTGCTTGGGACGGAGGAGAAGCCTGGGACAATTGGAGGAGGCATCTGGTCACAGTGTTCATCTGTGCTTAGGTCCTCGGTGCTCACCTAGCTATGTGTGGAATATGCTTTGGGCGTTCCTCCATGTTGTGGTTGAAATGGCTCTGCAACCCAAGGGGCTGGATGAGAGTCTGAGGCAGGGAGCAAGATGGAGACAGGACCCTGTTCCAGTTGCTTAGCCACAGAGGCTCCCCCTCCCCCATGTCATGGGGCTCTTTGGAGCTCAAAGTCAGCAGTAAGTTTCACATTGAATTTTAAGTTAGTCTGCTGGCCTGTAACCTAGGCCATAGCACCTGCGAAATATCCTTTTCTTCCAGCAGAGTTCTACTTGGTACCTGCGGGTTTAGTAATTGGAGCTCTATGTCATTCTCTCTTTCTGGTCCTCAGGTTAAGGATTCTGAGATCCTTTCCTTCCTGTGGCCGACCGGGTCTTTGCCACCTGCTGCCCCACGTTTTTGACATCAACTTCCTTCTCACCTTCCGTGAACTTCCTCATGCCAGCTTTCTTTGACATCCTCCAGCTTGGCCTCATCTCCTCTGCCGTCAGCTGCCAGGAACTCCTCTCTCTTGTGGTACTTTGGAGGTCAGATCTTGCTCCAGGCTCCAGCCCCTTTCAGTCTGGAGTCTTCAACTTCCAACCCAGCCAGATTTCTGGCCAACATGAGCTCGTGATCCTGGTTTAAAGAAGAAAGGCATCCGTTTGTGGAAGCCCATCCTCATCCTCACCAAACACCAGGAGAGCTTCTGGGCTGGGGGCACCTTTGCCAGTTTCACCCAGCAGGAGGAGAGAGAAGGTGGAAAGTGAACAGGAGAGGAAGGGAAAGGAGGAGAGAGAGGAGAAGAATCAGAATAGAGAAAGGAAAGAGGGACTCCAGCCGAGGGAAGAGGATGTTTGAAGTCTTTTTCCAATGTCTAAACTGGGCGAGACTTGTGAGCAGCAAAGGGTCAAGCGTTGAAGATGAAAAGGAGACCCAGTGGGTGTGTGAGTGAGAGGAGGGGGCATAGGAAAAAGAGAGGGGGAGGACAGAGCTGATTCTGCGTGAAGGGCTGAACGCAGGAGAACAAAAGACCGATGTCACCTCACAGAGGAACCTGTATTTGATATTCACATCGGTTACTTTCTGGTTACTCTGCCCTGGGCTCTCTAACCGGGAGCTGTTGAGTACCTTTTGGTTCCTCTCTGATTTGTCCTGAAACCCCATCCTCTACTTGGCACAGATAGGATGAATTGTGGAGAAGTTCTGTCCTGGGCTATGAGGTTGGTGTGGTGTGTGTGTGTGTGTGTGTGTGTGTGTGTGTGTGTGTGTGTATGGAAATGTGTTATAGCCTGCCAGGTGCAAGGTCAAATAAGGTTATAAGAGCTTTGAAAAGGGACATGTCAGGTGATGTGTGCACAGAACTCAGCAGAGCTCCTGGCACGTAGTGGGTGTGCCATAAATGACAGCATCCATCTTCTTCCATTCTCTTCCTCTGCTCTCCGTGCCCACGAGTCCCTTCCTCCTGCCTTTTCTTCCTGGGGAAGATGCTCAGTTTCCTCCCTTTCTCCTCAGCCTTTAAGTGTACAGTATTCTCATTTTTCCAGATCAGGGGCTGTAGGTCTTTCAGCCTTCATATATTCCTATCCCAATCTGCTATAACCCTTTAATTTAAATGACACTTTACAGAATAAGACAGTCCTCATTAATGCGTACCTGTGACAAGGACACATAAACAAAAGCTCAGAGAGGGGACGTGCCTTGCCCAGAAAAGCACAGCTAATGAAAGATAGCTGGAATGAAAATTTGGTCTCTCGAGTCCAGATCAGTACATCCTGCACTGTCCAGAGTTGAGTAAGTAATTGATTATTTCATGGTGCTATTCTTGAGGGTAGAGACCTGGGTTTCTATTTCCCATAAACATCTTCAGGGCCTGGCCCACAACAGGCTCTCAATCAGTGTCAGTCGGTTCACGTCTAGGGACTCAAGGGAGCCCTGGCCACCCTTGCTCAGCCTTTTCCCTACACGGCCACTTCTGCCTGGATGCTACCCCCTCAGGCCTCAGAGTGGCAGCCCACATCCTGGTAGCCAGCCTGTGCACACTGTAGGGGATAGCTGCCCAGGAGCCCAGCCCCTGGTCCACGTTCTGGCAAGGCAGGAGAAAATCAGGAGGCATTAGATTTGTTTATGTATAGCTCAGACAGGTAGAAAATAGAAGCAACTCCGCTCTCATTGCGACAGAAAGGAGCCAAGACTTCGTGAAAAGCAGGCTTTCTTCTCCCTGAGAGTTGAGATGTTAGAACAAGACTTCCTGCAGAGGTTGTAGAAATGGCTCCCCTGGAGGTCTTTAAGAGCTGGAGAGTGACTGGCTTTCTAGCTGGATGTAGGCATGAAGGCAATCACAAGTGTGGGACCAGGACGCAGGCAGCTGGAGGAAGACTCAGCATGCACCAGTCCTGACCCAGCATCTCCAGGGCTGAGGTTAGAACTGAAAGGTGAGTGGTAGGGCAGAGAAGGCCAGGGAGGAGTAGCAGACCTAGTG